GGGATCCCGGAGTCACAGAATGATTCCTGAGTTCCAGTGTTTGCATTTTAAACATTTCTGAACTAAGAAGTGACGTGTTAGTGTTCATTCCTCACAGGGACTGCTTTTCAGGCCTATTGTAGACGCGACTTATGCATCTGCTGGGAAACTAGACAACCTTTAAGCTCCATCCTAAAGGTTGATGCTCTCTACACCACGGTTTCTCGCCTCAGCACTGTTGACATTTGGGACTAGAAAACTCTTGGTTGTGGAGGTTGTTCTGTGCTTTGCAGTTCGTTTAGTAGCATCCCTGGTCTCTACCCACTAGATCAAATAGCACCTCACCCCCAGTTATGACACCAAAATGTCTCTAGATATTTCCATACGTCTCCTGGAAGTTACAATTGTCTCTGGCTGAGAACCAGTCCTCTAAACCTGCATTGTGGAACTCTAGGGCAAGTTTTTGAGTGACTGCTTTCAGAATATTAAAAATAATATGTACATATAAACACGTAAATAATTACATAAAAAGAAAGCAAAGTTAGTCACAAACTGTCTAGCTCCCAAAATTTACCTGAGAAGGGACATTCTAGGAAGGCCCTTACCTTTTATTCTTGAGCAGGGCTTGCTCATTTCAACTGGCTAAGAATTGTAATTCCTCATTGGTGGATTCAGTGGAAAGAAGAATAAAGGCTGTGGAGTTCCCCAGAACTGAATTCAAGCCCCGGCCCTGCCACTCTGTCACTTTGGACTTGTGATATGTTTTCTGTTTTTTTCCCTTTCTTCATAGCCTTGCAGAAGAATGACCCACATCTTACAATAGCTAAGACTGTGAAGAAGTACGAGTAGGCAGAGGGATAGTATTGCGTTTCCGCTTTATTTTTTATTTAATAATATTCACAAAGCACTTACATTATGCCAGATATCACTCAAAGGGCTTTTCAAATATTAACTCATTTAGTCCTTCTGACAACTTCAGAAGCTAGGTTCTGTCAATACCCTATTTCACAGATATGGAAACTGAGGCACAGAGGTGCTTTTCCATACCATTAAATCAGGGATAGGCCCTGCTGCTTTGCAGCACTTAGTTTAAAATAGACACAATAGTGCATATGTCAGATTATTTACATGCTATAGGAAACATACTGCTTACTAGACATAGTCTACTGACATATTCTCATCACATTAATACAACAACCCAAAGAGAAAAATCATAATACTCATTTTAAAGATGTTGATACTGAGGCTCAGAGAAGTTAGTTTACTTGTCCAAGGACTTACCGAGGGTGGAAAATGGATTTGAACCCAGGTTTGTTTGTTTCCATGGTTCCTAATTATGGTCTACAGACTCTGGCTAGTCTGTGGGCCAGACACCTGCAGCATTGGCACCAGCTGGGAGCTTGTTTTAAGCCTATGTCAGGTCCCACTCTGGACCTACGGAATCAGGATCTACATTCTTTTTAAAAAATATATATATATTTTATTGATTTTTTACAGAGAGGAAGGGAGAGGGATAGAGAGTTAGAAACATCGATGAGAGAGAAACGTTGATCACCTGCCTCCTGCATACCCCCACTGGGGATGTGCCCGCAACCAAGGCACATGCCCTTGACCAGAATCGAACCTGGGACCCTTGAGTCCGCAGGCCGACGCTCTATCCACCGAGCCAAACCGGTTAGGGCATGAAATCAATAAAAATATATTTTAAAAAAATAAAATAAAAGGATACCTAGGTAAGTCCTGAGCACATTATAATTGAAGAACCACTGATCTCAACTGTGTCTCAGTATAGATCTATCCATGATATACAGGAGTACAAAATCTATCAATAAACACATCCATACACACATACACAGACATTAGACTGTGTCTATAATTACTTCTAAACATTTTACTTTAAGAATGGGAATTTAGCGATTTATAAGCATGTGGCATGAGTCCCTGTGTTAGATCAGGATTTGAATTCATTGAGTTAACAGATACACAGCATGTACTAGGATAGATGTGATTTGCACATATAGCAATTGCAGCATAGGCCCATTCCTGGATTTATATCAGAACTTCTTATTCTAGAAACTTATTCATTAGTTTGTTTGTTTACATCAAACCAGCAAAATTTTATCCTTACTCCAAACTAGTCAACACAACAAAAATGTGTCCAGTACTGTACAGACAGTTATGGAAGGTATGAGGACTGGAAGGATATTTAGGACACTTTGCCCTAAAGTAATTTTTAGCTCTGGGGGTTCTTGAAAAGTACTTGAGCTTGGTTTTCCACTTTGATATATTGGCTAAACTGACTGTGAATGGTTCTACTGATTTTTTTCCTAAAGCATTGTTTTTATTAAAGAAATAATTTTCTTTTAAGAATATAGCCTTGCTGGTACATTTTTCTTTCTTTAATGGTACACACACACACACACACACACACACACAGCAGCTGCAACTCTGTATATTTTTACTATACTGATTTTCCCAGTATATTTTTTAAAGGTAATGAATAATTCAGACTTGAGGTTGGCAGTATAACAGTCAGACTTGAACAACTCATTGCCTGTACATTTTATTCTTATCTGCAACTATTTCCCAGGTAGTAGATTGAGTTCACATCATGTGCCAACTCTGATCAAATGGTAGCAGCATGCTGTACACTGTCAGACAGTGAGGCACTTGTCCTAAGTGACAGAGTGGGAGGACCATGACTTCAGTTCTATGGAACACCAAAGCCTTCATTCTTCTTTCCATTGACATCCACCAACCAGGAATTGCAATTGTCTAGGATTCTAAGATACATCCAGTGGAAATAGATTCCACATTCTGGGATCAATTAGCAATGTCTCCTGTGGGTGTAGGAATGAGCCGTTGATGTGCAGCTGGCTACACTGCAACCCTCCCTCCTGCTCCAAAAAGCTAGTGCCTCTACTGTTATCATGTATTTCCCAGTCTTTCTTTCCCCTAAGCATTTCCCCTCACTATTCCCACACCAAGAATGTTCTACTTGTTGTGCCCAGACAAGAATCCATGACGTTCTATCAGACTTCCAGCGTCTCCAGAACTGGCTGATAATTCTAGTTTTGCAGTTTTGCTAGTCTGGAAAACAAAAAATAAAGAAAACACACACACACACACACACACACACAGACTTGTTCCTAGAACATATGCTTCAACTTCTCCCTCTCAGGACTTTGGATCAGATGCTCCCTTACATGTCCCAGGGGCCCATGGAGATTCTCAGTGCAGACTTGTTTTGATTGAAATTAAATATTACCACTTCCCCTTTGGGTTACACCTGTCCTCTCAGGGCTGTGCAAATGTCTCTGCAGTTTTAGGACTTTTATTTTACCACTGGAAATCCCTACCTAATGATTTTTCCATTTCTTCTCATTCAAATTTCTGTTACGGTACCTCTGGCTTTGTAACTATACTCTATACCAAAATGAAGCCAGTCTTGCTGGATATTAAGATTTTGAATGAATTGTGCCTTTTCTTTTTCTCCTCTTTTAATATGGTTCTGAGAGGAATCATATCAAAAGAGGAAGAGAATTGGAAAAAATACAATTTAGATTTAAAAGCTGTCAGATTAGGCAATGTTACTATTGGGGTCCCCATCATTACTCTCACTTTTTGTATCAACTCCTCCCTTAAGAGGCACTTGGGCACTTATTAAAACTAGAGGCCCGGTGCATGAATTTATGCACAGGTGGGGTCCCTTGGCCTGGTCGGTAATCAAGGCCTATGGGAGGGCTGGCCGGCAGGGGTGGGGGGGGCTGTCGGAGGTTGGCTATGGGAGCGCACTGGCCACCAGAGGGCAGCTCCTGTGTTGGTCAATATGTGTCATAGGATTGGTCAACCGGTCATTCTGATCATTCCAGTTGTTCGGTCATAATGGTCACTTAGGCTTTTATGTATATAGATACAGATTCCTCAATCCCTTTCCAGGCCTATTAAACCTAAATTTCTAGGGATGTATCATTCTTTTTTTAAAATATATTTTTATTGATTTTTTTACAAAGAGGAAGGGAGAGAGATAGAGAGTTAGAAATATCAATGAGAGAGAAACATCGATCAGCTGCCTCCTGCACACCCCTTACTGGGGATGTGCCTGCAACCAAGGTGCATGACCTTGACTGGAATCAAACCTGGGATCCTTCAGTCCGCAGGCCGATGCTCTGTCCACTGAGCCAAACTGGTCAGGGTGGATGTGTCATTCTTAACAAGCTCCTCAGTTATAATACACATGTTAGCTTGCAATATGACAGTAGTGTTCTAAGACAAAATGTCTGTAGACAGAAACCAGTAGAAAATATCTGTTATGTAGAGTATTTTAATTAATAAAACCCAGTTACAACCAGAACTACAAAATACTCCTATACAAAAACTTAAAACTTTGTGCCTTACTCTGCACAACTTTAAATTCACTTGATTAGATGCCGAAACCGTTTTGGCTCAGTGGATAGAGCGTCAGCCTGTGGACTGAAGGGTCCCGGGTTCGATTCCAGTCAGGGGCATATACCTGGGTTGCGGGCACATCCCCAGTAGGAGATGTGCAGGAGGCAGCTGATCGATGTTTCTCTCTCATCGATGTTTCTAACTCTCTGTCTCTCTCCCTTCCTCTCTGTAAAAAATCAGTAAAATATATTTTTTAAAAATTCACTTAATTAGACAAGGCAATACTATCCATTCTCAGGACTTTTAACCATCATGTCTCTGCTAATTCATTCTCTCACAATACTACACATGGATAGGATTCCCTGGTCAACCCTTTGCTACTTTTTCCTGTTGGTTAATAGTCTCTGCTCTACCACATAGCTGAATGTTTTCCTGCATTATCAAGAAAGATATCATTACCCTTTGAAAGACCTTTGGATTCTAGTTAAATATTTACATATACCTTGCAGTTTCAAATCTGATTCTGGGAAGGCTTTGACTGTAATTATATAGCCTCAAGCCAGCTGGTGTCCCCTTTGGGTCATAAAGCAAGTTCTTGGTAACAAGTATTAGAGACACCTTTCTAGGGCAGGTCAAAGTGCCTTGGCTTTATTATTCAAGAGAACTTTGGTCCCTCTTTTAGAGGACTCAGCTGTTGTTGGAAATCAGTTAAATAACAGCCACAGATCTAAGTAGACAGAATCACCCCGGAAGAGGAGCAGGGCATGATGAAAAGCTAAGAGGTGATGAAAGGCCTTCTCAGCTGGTATCTATATTATATGGAACTAATGCTTTTTGGGTTTTGTTTTACAGGCAGTGACCTTTGCAGTGATCCTAAAAAATGAACCCCGTTGTCACGCAGCCAAGGTATGGTGCAGGAGGTTCCACAGTCAGCGACTGGCAAACCGGCTCGTTTGACTGCTGCGCCGACATGGGGATTTGTAAGTGCACACAGCCATTGCTTCTCCTTGACTGCTAGTAACTATGCAGACTATTAGCATAACAAAAACTGTGTTTACTTATCCTTCCATGTGTCACTCTCTAACTCAGAAGTCACAAGCCCTGGGTGGATTTAGCCACCAGGTGTGTTTTGTTTGTCCTGTACATGTTGCGCCTTCTTGATGTACTAATTTTAATATAGTAGCAAACATCAAAAAATCAGATTTCACACAAAAATCCAGCTTTTCGAGCTAGATGTCCAGCTTCTCTTGAAAATGTGGAAAATCTGGAAAGATGAGTCCCCATTCTCACGTGGCAGAGGTCCGTCAGTTACGGCTGAGGATTAGCCAAGCCCTTAAAAAAGGATTCTCGCTCTGCAGTTTGCCATATTTATGTTCACCATCCACTGTTTTGGGGGTTTTCCAACCTACCTCACTCATTTATTTTATCTGCCTGGCCTTGAGTGTGTGGTCCTTGTTTAGATCAATCCTCTTTTTAAATGTCTCACCTCTGTAGTATCACCATGTTCTTTTTTTAAAATATTTTTTTTATTGATTTCAGAGGGGAAGGGAGAGGGAGAGAGAGAGAGAGAAACATCAATGACGAGAGAGAATCATTGATTGACTGCCTCCTGCACGCCCCACACTGGGGATCGAACCTGCAACCCGGGCATGTGCCCTGACTGGGGATCGGGCCGTGATCTCCTGGTTCATAAGTCGACACTCAACTGCTGAGCCACACCAGCCGGGCTCACCATGTTCTTGACATGCTTCTCCAGTTTTCTATTTACCTCTTCCTTTCCTAAGAAGCTGACTATGCTTTCCGGCTTGCAGTGATACTCTTGTGGCTGTCCCATTTCAGCAAGCAGTGTAGAATTTTTATTTTACTGACATAATTATTTTGCATGACCAACCACACTTTTGCATGAGAAAATTGTCCTTATCTCAGAGCCTATTGCCATATGAGCTGCAGGTGCTCTGTGTGGGGCATTTTCCAGTGTCTTTGAGAAACAGTCTCCTTATTTTTAAATTATTTTTATTTTTATTTTTTGGTACATGATGGAGGTTCCAAGTTCATTAGAGATAGCCTTTTGTATAAATCAGTCAAAAAAGACAAAAAAACAAGGACTTTCTTATCTTACTTGGGGAACAGCATTATCAAAACTCCACCTCAGCCCTAGCTGGTTTGGCTCAGTGGATAGAGCGTCAGCCTGCAGACTGAAGGGTCCCAGGTTCAGTTTTGGTCACGGGCACATGACAGGGTTGTGGGCTCGGTCCCCAAAGTGGGGTGTGCAGGAGGCAGCCGATCAGTGATTCTCTCTCATCATTGATGTTTCTATTTCTCTCTCGCCCACTTCCTTCCTCTCTGAAACCAATAAAAATATATTTTTTAAAAAACCCACCTCAGAGCTTTCCAAAATAGACTTTCACTCTCCCCTTTCTCCCCTTTCTGACCCTAAACACCCTCCCAGGTTTTCAGAGGGCTTTTCAGACCTCCTGACACCACAAACGTCCTACACACACATGGCCCCAACGTAAACTAGGGCCGGGAAGAGAGATCAGTTTTACATGCTCAGTTTGACAAGGCAGAAGCCTTTACAATCAAATGTGACCTGATGCTATGACAGGCACATTTCCCCAGTCTCCCGGACAGTCGGGCCCAAAAGCAGTGCATAAGGAGCCAGGGACCACACTGTGTTCTCAGAGGGTCTGAAGGCCAGTTCCCGGGCAAGCACCTATTGGAGAGCAGGTGATCTGGTGGAAACCACGATGACTTGCACTAACTCCCCTATGTGGTTTGACTCTCACTCAGGCCTCTGCGGGACTTTCTTCCCTCTGTGCCTTTCATGTCAGATTGCCTCTGACATGGACGAATGCTGCTTATGTGGAGCATCTGTCGCCATGAGGACCTTGTATCGGACTCGATACGGCATCCCGGTGAGTCACCCCAGGGTCCAGGGGAGGGCTTCAGACCAAGACACCCGAGGGCTTCCCTTTAGTCCATGATTGCCCTCCTCACCTTCATGCCTTGACCTAGTCTTTTCTCCATCACCATCCTAACCTCTAAGGTGATTTACAGGGGCAGTGTGGCTATCTACACCTTTGGGATATATTTATAATAAAATATTTTATTGATCCAGTAGATGTGTCCGAAAAAGTTGCTGGTGGTGAGTAGGTGAGGGGCAGAGGCCAGCACGGGATCCTTAGCCTCTCCTGGCTTTACCCAGAGTCACACGGGCCCTGCAGCCTGCAGGGCGGGTGACGGTTTCTCACAGAGCCTTGGTAAGGAGAGCTCAGGGCATCCTCTCCAAGCTGTCCCGCTTGCCTCATTGGCAACTCATAAGGGAACATTCATTCATGAAAAGGGGACCACTGAGCACCCAGAACCTTGTTAAATCATAGGCTGATGTTCATTATTCAGTGGGGACTTACTGAGTACATAGAACCTGCCAATTACCGTTGCAGATGCTAGAGACATGTCAGTGAACAAAGGAAATCAAAATCCTTGTCTTCATGGAGTTTACATTCTTTTATTTTTTTAAGCCTTTTCAACATAATTTCAGACTTAATGAAAAGTTGCAGAAATGGTACAAAGACTTCCTGAAAACCCTTTGCCCAGATTCCCCAAACAGTAAAAATTTGCCACACTTGTTTTATTTTTCTCTTTACCTTATCTGTTTTTTTCCCCCTGAGTCATTTGAGGGTAGATTACAAACTTGATGCACTATTACATCTTTTTCAGTGTATTTCTTTAAAAAAAGGACATTTTCTTATATAACCATAAAACAATGATCAGAATCAGGAATTTAACATTGATACAATACTAGTAGCTAATCTGTGGATCTTATTTGAACTTTACCAATTATCCCAACACCATCCTTTAGATGAAAATAAAAGCAATCTGGGATCACACATTGCATTCAGTTGTCACACCTCTGTAGTCTCATACAATAAGAAACAGTTTCTCAGTCTTTCTTTGTTCTTCTTCTTTTTTTTTTTTTTTAAGGAACATAGATCAGTAGACTCCCTCAGCTTGGTTTGTCAAATGTTTTCCCATAATTAGGTTGTACACTTTTGGCAGAAACTCCACAGAAGCTGTGCTGTGTTTGCCATACATTGTATCAGGAAGCACATGACATCCATTTACCCCATTATGTGTGATGTTACACTTGGTTAAGATAGTGTCTGCCAGGACCGTCCACTATAAAGTTGCTATTTTCCTCTTTATAATGGACTAGGGCCCAGTGCATGAATTCGTGCACCTTGAAAGGAACTGTGGGCCTCGAGGCTGCGGTGGGCACAGGGGCAGGTCTCAGCCCATCCTCTGTGCTCCCGCCCAGCCCCTCCTGCCACAGTCCTGGGTTCCCTGCCTGCTGGCAGCCCCCCTCCCACCGCCACTCCCACGTGCTGATCACACCAGTCCTGCTCGCACCCGCTGACAGCGCAGAGCGATTGGGGCCAGTGCCAGCAGCAGGGCCGGCGCCGTTAGTGGGTGCAAGAGGTGGCTGCTGCCCCATTCGCCCCTCAGGAGCAAGGGGATATGGAGAAGCCCTCAGGGACAATCAAGGCTGGCAGCCCTTCACACCTGCTGATGGTGCCAAGAGATTGGGACCAGCACAGGGTGTGGGCAGCAGGTGTGAGTGCTGGGCGGGGCCATGGCACATGGGAGCAAAGAATTTTCAGTAATCACCAGAGGCTGCCGTGATGACAGTGACCGGCGCCAAACCTTGGTCTGGCGCCCCCACTCACCTGCTCCACCATCCTGCCACAGCCGACACCCGCCATGTTCCATGCGTGCCCCCTGGTGGTCAGCGTACATCATAGCGACCATTGTTCGGTTGTTCGGTTCTCCCACCGTTCGGTCTATTTGCATATTAGGGTTTTACATATGTAGATAGGATCTTGTAGGGAGATGTAAATGTCCTGTTCTTCATCAAACTTTCACCCACTAGTTCTAACATTCATTGAAGATTCTTGCCTGCATCAGTTATTATTATGACGGTTGCCAATGGCAGAGCTTACACTCTAATGGGAAGAGATAGTTACAATATAACTAAGTAAAAGTAAAATATATAGGATAGTGACGTGCTACAGAGAAAAGGAAAGCAAGGAAGAGGGAGAGTGTTGAAGTTTCTAATTTTAAATAGGGCTGTCCGGAAAGACCTCGGTCAGAAAGGGCCTGAAAAAGGCCCAGGCAGAAGAAAGAGATCGAACCGAGGCCTTGAAGTAGAATTTAGCTGGAATGTTCCGTCCAGAAGCAATTGTGGAGCGGGGGTAGGAATAGAGTGGGGAGGTGTGGAAGAGGAGAAGATGATGCCAGAGCATTAGCAAGGGCCTTGGAGGCGATGAGAACGTTTACTCTGAGTGAACTGGGAAGTCACTGACATGTTCTAAACAAAGACTGATATGATGGGTTCTTGCTCCTGAAAACTTAACCTCTGCCCCACTCATTGCTCCCATGGGGGGAGAGCAAGTTGTTAATCTTCCTAACCTTCCTAATCTTCCTAACCTTCCTAACCCCGCTGATAAAAGGATGCCTTCGCTAGGGTGGTGCAGTAAAGGTCACATAAGATAATGCATGGAAAAGGCTTAGCACAGAGCCTGGAAAGTGATAGTGCTCAATAAATAACAGTTATCATTTTTGTTTTATCTCAGAACATGGCTCAGCTGATTTCCCAGGGCAGGGTTGGGTTCAGGCCTGCCTCCATTTCTCCCCTGTGCTTGCTCAGCACCTGACTCTCAGCACTCCCTGCAGCTCTCATGTGTGCCACTCACAAGGCAGATAACACATGGGAGTTCTTAACTTTGGGACTGAACCGTGGACTTCCTAAGATTACAGGCAAAGTGTCACGTGTTTGTAGTTATGTATATGGGTGTGAGTGGATTTCTCAAAATGGCCCCTAACCCCAAAATGGTATAAGAGAAGGAGCACTTACCTGGAGTCTATATGATAAAAGTTTGGGATTCAGCTCAGCAAATAGCTAATTTTTTTACTCTGGGAAATCATTTGGCGGCATTGGTTTTCTCATCTGTCATGAGAAAGTTGCACAAGATGATTCTAAAGTCACTTCTAGGTCTAGGATTCTATGACAGAATTCTTGGCATACATTAAATAAGTGTATTTATAGACACTGTATCTTCCTCCTTGTAACAGACCTTTAAAATGTTGAGTAAAACCCAGCCGGCATGGCTCAGGAATTGAGCGGTGATCTATGAACCAGGAGGTCAGGGTTCACATTCCCAGTCAGGGCACATTGCAGGCTCGGGTTGCAGGCTCAACCCCCAGTAGGGGGCATGCAAGAGCAGCCAAGCAATAATTCTCTCTCATCACTGATGTTTCTATCTCTCTCTCCATTCCTCTCTGAAATCAATTTATATGTATATAATGGCAAGTAATTCCTAGGACTAATTTATGCTTTCTGCTTTGTTTCCTGTTTACATCTGTGCAAAATCTCCTGGGGCTGCTACAATGCAGCCTCTGACTGATTGGCCCCTCCCGTTGTGGACTAGCCAATACAGCATCCCTTAGGCCAGCGGTTCTCAACCTGTGGGTCACGACGCCTTTGGGGGTCAAACGACCCTTTCACAGGGGTTGCCTAAGACCATCAGAAAACACATATATAATTACACATTGTTTTTGCGATTAATCATTATGCTTTAATTATGTTCAATTTGTAACAATGAAAATACATCCTGCATATCAGATATTTACATTACGATTCATAACAGCAAAATTACAGTTATGAAGTAGCAACGAAAATAATTTTATGGTTTGGGGTCACCACAGCATGAGGAACTGTATTAAAGGGTCGCGGCATTAGGAAGGTTGAGAACCACTGCCTTAGGCCAAGGAGGGCACAGCCTCTGCTGGAGAGAAGGAGAAAGGAAACAGCTAGCATCTGCTGGGATAGGATTTCGACATATAATTGCTCATTTACTACTTAAAAACTTTTTATGGCACCAAGACTGTGGTCTCCACTTTGTAGATATGGAAACCAGGCGTGAGACAGGCTTACGGTCACAGAACATGGAAATGCTGGTTTATTCTAACTCCAAATGTCTGGTTTCTCCCACTTGATCATCCTGCCTGCCTGCGTAGATGTGTGGGCAACCATGTACCACAAGTCATTCATTTATTCGCTCAATCAATGCTTCTGTAAGTGCTGATAACAAGAACCTTTTTAATCAGAGAAGTACTAGTCCAGTTTAACCAAGCAGAGTGGTGAATGCAGTCTTTGTTTCTGGCACCCATTTCCCAAGAAGCTATTCCCCTTAAGGCATTTGTATCCCTTATTATTAACTTCAACATGATGTCAACCTGTAGTTCATTTCCTCTTTCTTTGAAAAAGGAACATTTTTTCTTCTCTATAGTCTCTATATGTATAGTATGAAACAGACTTAGAATCAAGTTGTGTTTTCTATAAGTTTCCCTAGGTTTCTCAGCAAATAATAGTGGGATTTTTTTTCTCCCCTAAAAACTACCTGAGCCTGACCAGTGTAGCTCAGTGGTTGAGCATTGACCCATGAACCAGGAGGTCATGGTTCAATTCCTGGTCAGGGCACATGCCTGGGTTGCAGGCTCGATCCCCAGTAGGTGGCATACAGGAGGCAGCTGATCAATGATTCTCTTTCATCATTCATAATTCTATCTCTCTCTCCCTCTCCCTTACTCTCTCTGAAATCAATGAAAAAAATGCATATATATATGTTTTAAAAACAATCTGAGGTAAATAGACAAGGCATAGAAATACTGTCTCATTACTAATGAGAATGCTTTCTTCTTTGAGGCATAATGGTGGTTTAATGAAGGTTTAAAAGATTTTTAAAAGTAAAAAGTAAATAATGAATTAAAAGCTGAAAAGTACAAGTTCTATGAGGAAAGATTAAAGAAACTGTGGATGATTTATCAGGGAAAAAGAGAAGCCTACAAGACTGAATTATCTTCAGGCTGAATATCTGTTCCTCCCTCTGACAAGGGGCACAACTTTAGACGCGTTTTAACACTGCTGTTCATTCGTCCCCCTTCCCCCACATGCTTACTCTGGTAGATGAGAATCAAAATTACTGCAGCAATAGAAAATTTTTCATAAAAAATAGAGCACTTGCTCTGGCCAGTTTTTCTCAGTGGTTAGAACATTGGCCTGAGGACCAAAGGGTCCCGGGTTCGATTCCCGGTCAAGGGCACATACCTCAGTTGTGGGTTCAATCCCCAGCCCTGGTCAGGGCGTGTGCAGGAGGCAACCAATTGATGTGTTTCTCACACATCGATGTGTTTCTCTTCCCCCGTCCCCCGCCTCCTTCCACTCTGTCTGAAAAATCAACGGAAAATATATCCTTGGGTGAGGATTTAAAAAAAAAAGAATAGAGCACTCATAATCTCAACGTTTAGGAGCTCCTAACCCTTATAAACTCAATCTGCCATAGCTACCGCTTTCTTCCTCATTTTCTCTCTGCTCACACTACAAATTGGGAATTGTATTTACGCAACACTTTTTAAAAAATTTGTGCTATCAAAAAAAATGGAGCTCAAAATTATTTCAATCCATCAAGTCACACCATCATAGAATCTGGTTGTCAGACTAGAGTCCCCTGGATCACCCAGTGCCTCCCGTCCAAAGCAGGGTTCCTCCAAGGGCATCTCTACCAGAGGGTCAGTGAGAGCCCACTTGGACTCTGCCAGAGAGAGGGCCCTCAGAACTTTGAAAGCAGACCATGTATGGCTTTTCCAAACATCATTCGTTCCCTTCTTTCTTTCCCCCCATAATTATATGTCCCTCTCTCACTTCGGACTTTCTCCCTTGCAGAACATGAGAGATGCCAATGAAAATGGCTGAGGGATTCAACATGAGGCTTGGTCTGGCACTGCTCACCAACTATAGAAAAACTGGTGCAGTACACCACTTGCTTTAAAGGGAACCATTCCAGAAAGACCAAGGGCTGCCACCCATTTGCTATGTGATCTTAGCAAGTCTTTTAACTTCTCTGGGTCATCAGAAAAGTGGGGATAATGTCACAGAATCCTCATGACAAGTGACAAAATGTATGTTTTAAAGAGGTTGGAAAAGCTATACAAATGCAGGACATTGTGTGACTATGTTTATAGACTACATGTGGACTCGTGTCTATTTGTGTGTTTTTTTTAACAGGGATCCATTTGCAATGACTTCCTAATGATGATGTGTTTCCCTAACTGCGCCCTTTGTCAACTCAAGAGAGATATTAAAAGAAGAAGAGAAATGAATGCTTTTTAAAGATGTTCGGTATGTTGGTGGGAATTCCTGATTTATGAGTATCAAAATAAAATTTCAAAGCCATCTTTTATTTCCTTGGTACTGTCTCACAGAGACATGAGATACCCTTTAACAGATGGAGGGCAAATGATTTTTAATTGCCAGTCTACACCAATCAGTTGGTAGCCAGCTTTCCAGAGCCTGGATGGAAAGGACTAAGCCTAGTTGCATAGGGATTGTGTGACTTTTTAAAGGTGTCTTCCACAACAGGAGTGGCCATGTGATGCACCAAATAAACCATGACCATCTTAGATACCCCATAACCTAAGGTGGTAGAGATATGTGCATGACCGAATACTCATCTGTCTAAGCCTGGATCTCAGTCACTGCCGCCAACAGTGACCAGCTGAGATGCTATGTTGTGTGAATGTACCTACTTATGTGTTCTTATCAGTACCACAGTATTAAAACAGTAATTCATTCTCCAAGGTGGTAGGAGACTCTTTTGGTCTCTATAAATTATGTATGGACAATTCTCTGAGTTATCCAAAATGCCTGATCACATTTTTAATCTTCTCACTTCTTCCTGTTTCTCTCAGGCAAGAGGGCAGTGGCTTATCCAGTCCCGTCTTTCAATTTCTTCTGCCAATCCCCGTAACATTTGCAGTCAGAGTTTAGCTTTCACATGGAAATGGCTATTCTCTGTAAAAGTCCTTGGTCAGGATGGTGCATTCACATGTATGATTGGTTGATGCTCTCTCTAAACTATGTTCACCTGCAGCACAAAGTAATGTCCTCTTCATGAACCATGCTTCAGTGTGTTTCATTTTTAGTGCCATTTTATTGTCCTTCTGCTTGCTTTATAAATATATTTCATTTTTTGTTAATCCTCATCCGAGGATATTTTTCCATTGATTTTTAGGGAGAGTGGAGGAGAGAGGGAAAGACAGAGAGAAACACTGATGTGAGAGAAACACATCTATTGATTGCCTCCAACTAGGGCCAGGGCCCAAGGAGCCTGCATCCAGGGTACGTGCCCTTGACCGGGATTGAATTTGGGACCCTTTGGTCCACAGGCCAACTCTCTAGGCCAAACAGGCTAGGGCCGTGGTTGGCAAACTGTGGCTCGCAAGCCACATGTGGCTCTTTGGCCCCTTGAGTGTGGCTCTTCCACAAAATACCACGTGCGGGCGCACGTACAGTGCAATTGACACTTCGTGGCCTATGCGCAGAAGCCGGTTTTCGGCCTGGGCGAGTCTATTTTGAAGAAGTACTGTTGATATTTGGTTCTGTTGACTAATGAGTTTGCCGACCACTGGCTAGGGCATGCCTTCTGATTGTTTTAAATGGCTTCCCTCAATGACCAAAGTGCTTAACTTACTTTCAAGCAAAGTCAAGATGGAGAGTTTTCTTATCATTATACCCTCCCTCCTAAGAATTGACTATTATCTCTCTTCCCAAGCAGTGATGCTTTAAAAAAAATAAAGTTTTTATTGATTTGAGAGAGATAGGAAGGGAGAGGGAGAGAGATAAACATTGACCAGAGAGAAACATCAATCAGCTGTCTCCTGCATGCCCCCTACTGGGGATGGAGCCCAAAACCCAGGCAGGTGCTCTGCCCAGGAATCCAATCAGTGACCTCTCAATGCATAGGATGATGCCCAACCAACTGAGCTACATCTGCCAGGGCAACAGGGATGCTTTTCTAAAGGCCTATCTTACCAACCTGGCTCAGAATCTGATGCCAAAGTAGCCCTTAGCCAAAGTAGCCCTTAAGGAATTAGAATGTGGCAGTAGACTGGTCTAGTCATCATGAAAAAGATTGTTTTAGGTTCTCTGCTTTTTAGATACTATGACCTTCACATGTTTGGTGATTCGTTGTCATTTGGTAACAGAAGTGAACTATGGCCGTCTACAGAGCATTCCGTTGGTTGCTCAACCACCTAGCAATAGTGCCTGATACATCGTCGGCATTTAATGTTGTGGATGAAAAAGTGAACACGAGTTTCAGCCAAAAAACAAATTGAATCCCTAACCTAGGAGGCTCATCTAATTCTTAACTGGTGGTCCTGACTCTTCCTAATAAACTGTATTGAACCAGGAGCCATTGTTTGGTGTCGATTTTAAATATGTAGAAATTTGGCAGTACAGTAGGGGTGGAATAGAAGTTTTGATATTTGGAACAAAATCATCTAAAGAAAGATGGGACCAATAAATCCTAATTTTTCATTCATTTGTTCTTTTTTTTTCTTTTTCTTTTTCTCTCTGATTCCTACAGGTAAAATTTCAATTGTGGTGAAAAAAAAATGCTGGAATGGAATGCTGCATTTATTAAGTGCTATCTCACCTCAAATATTATAAATTAATGCAATTAATTATATGGTTTCAAATGGCTTCAAAACATTTTTATTTCCAGTTAATTTTGAAAGAGATATGTTTCCACTGCTATTCTGTAAGATAACTGCCATTAAAAACATTGATTCCCTCAACAGTTCTTGTGTCTTTAAATACTACTTCATGGGAAATTACAGAAATTTTTTAAAAAATGAGCCCAAGGCTGTCAAAGTTGAATGATGGGTAGGTGGAGATTCTTTATTCTACTTTTCTACCTTTATATGTGTTTGAAAATGTCCACAACAAAGGTTTTTAAATGTTGTCAAGTAAAAAGCTTTTATTATTTTGGATTTTCCCTCCACTGGAGGTTGGGCGCTACCCTGTGTGGTCCTTCACTTCAGGCGAGTGTGGTCTCCTCCCGCCGTGACCCCCTGTCCCCTCTCTGCCAGAAGCCCCACTCCTGCCACCCCCACTCCCACCCACTGATGGTGCCAGCCCTGCTTGCACCCACTGATGGCACAGAGCGATTGGGGCCGGTGCCAGGAGCGGGTGGGAGCAGGGCCAGCACCGTCAGCAGGTGTGAGCAGCGGCTGCCAGCCCCGATCACCCCTCAGGAGCAGGGGGAAGTGGAGAAGCCCTGAGGGGCGATCGGGGCTGGCAGCTGCTGCTAGCACCCACTGATGGCGCTGAGTGATTGGGGCCAGCACCAGGCACCGGCAGTGGGTATGAGCGGCAGCTCTGGCACCGGCAGTAGGTGGGAGGGAGCCGGCACCGGCAGCTGGTACAAGCACCGGGCGGAATCATGGTGCACAGGAGCAAAGAATTTTTAGTAACCACCAGAGGCTCGCCCTGATAACAGCGACCGGCTCCCCACCTTGGTCTGGCTCCCCGCTCACCTGCTCCACCATCCTGCTGTGGCTGATGTCCACCATGTTCTGTGCTCTGCCGCCTGCTGCCGACGCCCACCATATTCCACGCATGCCCCCTGGTGGTCAGCGCACTTCATAGTGACTGGTTGTTCTGCTGTTTGGTCTATTTGCATATTAGAGTTTTATATATATACTAGAGGCCCGGAGCACAAAAATTTGTGCACTCGGGGAGGAAGGGGGGGTCCCTCAGCCCGGCCTCTGCCCTCTGCCAGTCTGGGACCCCTCGGGAGATAACGACCTGCTGGCTTAGGCCTGCTCCCAGGCGGCAGAGGGCAGGCCCAATCCCTAGATGCAGCCCCTGGTCGGGCTCAGAGCAGGGCCGATTGGGGAGTTGGGGCACCACCCCCTGTCATGCACAGAGCAGGGCGGATTGGGAGGTTGCGATGCCACAATGAGTCACGCTCAGGGTAGGGCCAATTGGGGGGTTGGGGCACCGCCCCCGTCACACTCAAGGCAGGGTCGATGGGGAGGTTGCGGCGCCACCCCCTGTCATGCACAGAGCAGGGCCAATCAGGGGGTTGGGGCTCCGTACCCTGTCACGCACAGAGCAGGGCCCATCAGGGGGTTGAGGAGCTCCCCGCTGTCACTCACAGAGTAGGGCCGACAGGGGAGTTGGGGCACCGCTCCCTGTCACACACAGAACAGGGCCGATCAGGGGTTGGGGCGCCACCACTGTCACACTCAGGGCAGGGCCGATGGGGAGGTTATGGCTCTACCCCATCACACACAGAGCAGGGCCCGTGGCAGGGGTGTGTGGGGGGGCTGGGGCGCCGCAGCCTGTCACACACAGAGCAGGGCAGATAGGGAGGTTGTGGCCCCGCACCCTGTCACACACAGAGCCGCAGGGCGATCAGGGGGTTTGGGCGCTGCCCCTGTCACGCTCATCCTGGTGCTGGGAGGCCTCGCGGCTCCGCTGATTCCAGTGCTGGGAGGCATATTACCCTTTTACTATATAGGATAGAGGCCTGGTGTACGTGTGGGGGCCGGCTGGTTTGCCCTGAAGGGTGTCCTGGATCAGGGTGGGGGTCCCCACTGGGGTGCCTGGCCAGTCTGGGTGAGGGGCTGAGGGCTGAAGCTCCCAACTGCTCCTTTTTTTCTTTTTTTTCTTTTTTTATTCTGGGCCAGCTTTAGCTCTGAGGCTGCTGAAAGCAGGTATCTGGTTTGTTTAGGTTCTATAATCGAAACAATGTATAACTCCAGCTCTGAGATCCCGGCTCGCTGAAAGCAGGTTTCTGGGGTTTTGTTTAGCTTCTATATTTGTTAAAATGTTTCAAACTGCAGGCTCAGAGGCCGGCAAGGGAGGCGGGGAACGTTGGTTTCCTCTGTCACTGAAGCAAGCAAGCCTCATGTTAGTTTCAAGCTGCCTGGCTGCCGGCCGCCATCTTGGCTGGCAGTTAATTTGCATATCGCCCTGATTAGCCAATGGGAAGGGTAGCGGTTGTACGCTAATTACCATGTTTCTCTTTTATTAGATAAGACTAGAGGCCCGGTGCACAAAAATTTGTGCACTCAGGTGGGAGAGGGGTCCCTCAGCCTGGCCTGTGCCCTCTCACAGTCTGGGACCCCTCGGGGGATGACCACCTGCTGGCTTAGGCCTGTTCCCCAGGTGATTGGGCCTAAGCTGGCAATCAGACATCCCTCTGGCAGCCTAGCAGCCTCAAGGGATGTCCATTTGCCAGCGGGGAGCAGACCTAAGCTGCAGTCGGACATCCTTAGCGCTGCTGAGGAGGCAGGAGAGGCTCTCACCACCACCGCTGTACTGGCAGCCATCAGCCTGGCTTGTGGCTGAGCAGAGCTCTCCCATGTGGGAGCACCCTGACCACCAGAGGGCAGCTCCTGCATTGAGCGTCTGCCCCCTGGTGGCCAATGTGTGTCATAGTGACCAGTCATACCCAGTCCTTCTGCTGTTAGGGTCAGTTTGCATATTACCCTCTTACGATATAGGATAGAGGCCTGGTGCATGGGTGGGGGCTGGCTGGTTTGCCCTGAAGGTTGTCCCGGATCAGGGTGGGGGTCCCGCTGGGGTGCCTGGCCAGCCTGGATGAGGGGCTGAGGGCAGTTTTCAGGCTGGCTGGCAACTGAAGCTCCCAGCCTCTCCTTTTTTTCTTTTTTTTTTTATTCTGGGATTTATTTACCTTCTATAATTGAAACTTTGTTGCTTCCGGAGCTCAGAGCTGGGCCGCAGCAGGTGGGGAACCTTGGCTTCCTCCATCACTGGAGCAAGCAAGCCTCCTGTTCGCTTCAGCTGCCTGGCTGCCGGCCGCCATCTTGGTTGGGTTAATTTGCATATCTTGCTGATTAGCCAATGGGAGGCATAGCGAAGGTACAGTCAATTACCATGTTTGTCTATTATTAAATAGGACTAGTATAGATAGATAGATAGATAGATAGATGATAGATAATTAACATATAACATTGTATTAGTTTTAGGTGTACCACATAATTGAAAACTGATTACTATAATAAGTTTAGTTAACATCTATCACCACACATAGTTACAATTTTTTTTTCTTGTGATGAGAACTTATAAAATTTACTCTCTTGGCAACTTTTAAATATGCAATGCAATATTATTAACTACAGTTACCATACTGTACATTATATCCCCAGGAATTATTTATTTTATAACTGGAAGTTTTTATTTTATTTTTATTTTTTTAAAATATATTTTATTGATTTTTTACAGAGAGGAAGGGAGAGGGGTAGAGAGTTAGAAACATCGATGAGAGAGAAACATCAATCAGCTGCCTCCTGCACGCCCCCTATTGGGGATGTGCCCGCAACCAAAGTACATGCCCTTGACCGGAATCGAACCTGGGACCCTTCAGTCCGCACGCAGACCGACACTCTATCCTCTGAGCCAAAGCGGTTAGGGCAAAGTTTTTATTTTTTACTGTCTTCACCCATTTCATGCACACACATCCCTTCCCCTGGCAACCACCAATCTGTTCTCTATCAATGAGTTTGTGTGTGTGTGTGTGTGTGTGTGTGTGTGTGTGTGTGTGTGTGTGTGTATCTGTGTTTCTGTGTGATTTTGTTTTTGTTTTAGATTTCATGTATAAGTGAAATCATTTGGTATTTGTCTTTCTCTGTCAAACTCATTTTACTTAGCATAATACCTTCAAGGTTCATCCATGTTGTTGCAAATGGCAGGATTTCCTTTTTATGCCTGAATAATAGTTCGCTATATGTATATATGCCACGTTTTCTTTATCCATTCATCTATTGGTAGGCACCTACATGGTTTACATGGTTTGACTATTGTAAGCAATGCAGCAATGAACATGGGGGTGCAGTTCACATACATTTCCAATGCAGAGCAATTTAGTTTCACCTCAGCTTTCTACACCTGGGAACCACACCCCAAAGGCACAGGATAACAGTGGGATTCGGTTATTAAACAAAACATGTTTTCCATGTAGCTTATTAGAAAAGTACAGGTGTCAGAGGGGAGGGGAGAAGGGGGGCTGGGTGAAAAAAGGTAAAGGGATTGAGAAAAAAAAAACACTTCATAGACAGACAACAGAATGGTAATTACCAGAGGGAAAGGAGATGGGAGGGAAGGTAGGAAAGTGTCAAAGGGGTCTAAATGGTGATGGAAGGAGACTTGACTTGGGGTAGTGAACACACAGTACAATATACAGATGACATCACTTGGGTTCCAGGGTTTTAAACTCATAATGATGGTGTTCCCTTCCTCTCAATAAATTTGGGCATTTAATTAACATTTTTTAAAATAAAAAGAATATATATCTTGCAACCTCTCTTCAGGGTAATGCAGGGACATAGCCACAGGTACAAATACACAGAGGGCCCTGGAGCCTCCTGGGTTCGTGAAAATGGGGAAGTGGCACGTGAACAGGGGGCAGGGCCACGTGATCAGCAGGAAGTGCACACATCAGTTGCAGAGACCGTCCTGATTCCCAATCCAGCTCTGCTCCATCCCAGCCGGGGGAAGCACCCAGGCCTGGTTCTCACCTGTGAAATGGGAATGATGTGCTGGGCTGGCTCCCAGTCGGCAAGGGCTGGGTGGCAGGCTGACTCTGACTTTCTGCAGTAACAGGAACGGGCCAGCAGAGGGCGACAGCCTCTGCCGCCTCCCAAGGCAGGCAGCTGGGCTTGGCGGAAACCACACCTGGTTCCCCTTCAGAAGGTGCAAGGGGGAGGCTGAAGGATGGCTTTGGGGCCAGGTGGGCATCCAGCTGCCCTGGGAGGCTTGTTCTGCCTCCCACTCTGCAGACG